TGAGGGGACAGCGTGTCGTGAGGGGACGCGGCGGGAGGGCAGCGGCATGGGACAGTGTGTTGTGAGGGGGGAAGCGAGGAGACGGGGCGTGAGGAAAGTACCCAAAAGTCAGTCCGTTTCACCGGTGACAGTCTGACCCATTTTGCGAGGGGTAGACATCCCTTGTCATGGAGGTGATGCCTTGGGATGGATGTGATCCCTCGGAATGGAGGTGATCCCTTGGGATGGACGTGATCCCTTGGGATGGATGTGAACCCTTGGGACGGAGGTGATCCCTTGGGACGGAGGTGATGCCTTGGGATGGAGGTGATGCCTTGGGATGAATGTGATCCCTCGGGACGGATGTGATCCCTTGGGATGGAGGTGATCCCTCGGGACAGAGGTGATCCCTCGGGATGAATGTGATCCCTCGGGATGGATGTGATCCCTCGGGATGGATGTGATCCCTTGGAATGGATGTGATCCCTCAGGACGGAGATGATGCCTTGGGATGGAGGTGATGCCTTGGGACGGACGTGATCCCTTGGGATGGAGGTGATGCCTTGGGATGGAGCTGATCCCTTGGGACGGAGGTGATGGCTTGGGATCGAGGCAATGCTGCAGGGTGCGGGCTTGGGACAGAGGTGATGCCTTGGGACCGAGGTGATGCTCCACGGCGCAGGCTGTCGCACATCAAAGCGTCTTGGTGCAGGTGGGAGCTGAGGAAGCTGCCGGGTGCCCGCAGATGCCTTCTGCGTGGGTAGCGGAGGGGCATCAACAAAGTGCCCTCACCGCTGTCTCCTCTAGGGAGGGCCTGACCCAGGCTCTGTCCCCACCAGGGAGTCGGTGATGTCCTGGCTGATACAGGCACAGCCCTGCCCTCAGCGCGGGGTCGGCACTGCCAGCAGCAGTCCCCTCTGTGTCCAGGGGGTTGCCCCCAGAGATGGGACTGTTGGGGCCGGTATAAAGCACGTGAGCCAGAAGTGATGCGAGATGGATAGCACAGAGTGGGGGACAGCCGTGGGACGCAGGTCTCCTAGCTCCCTGCTTCATAACCCGCCCCAGCTCCTCCTTCAAGTGCCCCATCGAGCCCCTGGTTGTGCGGAGCGTGGGAGCCTGATGTGCAGGCGGGATCGAGCTGTGTACAGAATGCCGGGGGCTGTGGGGGCTCAGAGGTATTCACCCGTGGGAGTGACTGCAGAGAGCTCATCCTCACACAGAAATGGGTCGCTCCCTCAGCCCCCGTGTTCATTAACCGAACATGCAGTGTGTCTCACCCCGGGGCCATCAAGCCTGCAGAAATGAGGAGAAGCCCAGGAGAAAGCGGGAGAGGATGGGGTAAGGTTTCCTTTCACACTCCAGCTTCTGGGAAGTTTCTAGGGCCAGAGGCTGCCCCCATTGCTTTACGCTTAGCAGGCACCCGCGGGCTGTCGGGACGTTGTCCCGTCTCTTGTGTATTCGTTTGGTCTCCGCAGTGTCCTGCGGCAGCAAGTGCCACGACTCTGGGACTGTGTTGTGTGAAAAAATATTTCCTGTTATTTGTTACAAACTTGCTGCTGGGTGACGGCACACTGTAACCCCAGTCGTCTGTTAGGAGGAGCAGAGGGCACTGTTCCGTTTTTCTCCAGGATACTCATGACTTTATACACCTCCATCATCTCCGCATCTTCAGCTGCTTCTTCTCCGTGCAGAAGAGCTTAAAACTGATGAAAGAACAATATTAACAACGCGATGGTGTATTATGAATTTTTAAATAATCACTCCCTTTTACAGGAAATGTGCTGTTAAGACTAAACACAGTGCATTCTTGCAGACAGTGATTTAGGACTTCAGAGTTAAGGAAACCCTACAGAAATCCACAGAGAAAGATGTTCCTTTTTATTTAAAACTTAATTCCCCAAATTCATAATCCCTTGGTCTCTGATTTTGATGTGACGTCATTCCCAGACGTCGCTGCCTGTCGGTGTTTGTGCAGCAGCAGTTGGCACTCACAGCACTCAACATTCCTTTCCATGGAGTTACCTTAATTTCCTTGCTGGGAACCACAGCACTCAGGTTTGCAGTTAATTCGGTGCAAGATTTCAGCAGGTTGAAGTATTTCTGCCACTTCTTTTCCCACGTTCTCTTTGTGCTACCAGCAAGTCTCTTACTGAGGATTTCTATACATGTACGTGGTGCACGTGTTATTGTCAAAGGAATGTGAATACCTGATTCTCTCCTTGCTGCATAAAGAGGTCAGACAAGCCTGGATGCCATCCTACAAGAGCCATCATCTAAGAAAAAAGCATCTTTATTTTCCAGTTAGATCTTGGGCAGAAGCGGCCTCAGTTTTTCTCCTACCAGGAGCAAACAGCTGACATGTAGCTGTCTCGTGTGATGCTGGAGATGCATCAAGATTTAAATAAGAGCTGAAAAGGAAAATAATCACTGCAGAAGTCACTTGTCATGCAGAAGGTAAATGCCTCATCCTTACGGATGCAAAGCTGACGCCGGTGCAGCCAGCCACGGCAGGATCTGTGTTGGGGCGCTGCTGGTTTTGACAAGTACAGACCTGCTTGCCTATCTTTTCAGCTTTCTCTCTGTAAATAGCAACTGTTTGTTGGTTTGTTGAGGTATTTCCTGGCTTAGGCAACAACTAAGTGTTTGTCAGAGATGTGGTGAGATTGTTTCATCAGTAAAACATGCAGGGCCTGATAAATTGTTATTCTGCACAGCAAATGCCTCGTAGACAAAGGGCTTTTTATGGCCAGGAGCCACGGGAGGTGGGGTGGGACAGCGGGGCTGTATGGGGAGAGTCCAAACACCCTGTCTTGAGCCCGATTGCGTAGGAAAGGCTGGAAACGCGTGAAAACAGAGTAAGTCCCTGTGTAAACCCATCAGTGCCCGCTGCTCCCAGGAGGGTGTTGTCTCCCCAGCCTTCACGTGGAGACAGTTCCGAGCTCTGAAATTGCAAAGATGAGAGAAAAATGCAGGGTTCACATACAAACCAGAAAATAACCCCTACCATGTTAGCACGGGAGCGTTTGTAACTTTGGGGAAAGGCCCATAGAACCCATCTGGCCAGTACGCAGCAGGGGACACACGGCCTTGTCACCCAAGAGATGCTGTTAGAGAGATCAGGTCCTCTCTGCCTGTTCGCAGAGCTGGAATAGCCCCCTTCCGCGGTGGCACACGGGCTCAGCATACCCTGCGTTCAGTACCGTGTCCCCCGGAGGCAGTGAGCTCCCTGGAAGGTCGTTTTTGCAAGGAGCTTTTACAATGACATGAATACAATCCCTGGTCCCACAGGGAGCCCACTGAGCACTGAAATGCCCCCTGCAATGTCCCTCCTGCTAGTGACAGGCTGGCAATGCAGTGTGGTGGGGGTGTTGTACGGAGGTTACTCCAGTGCAGGGTTAACCCCAGGATTCAAGTCGCTGGTTTCAGTGCTCCTTCACCTTGGGGTAACTGGGTGTTTCCCCAAATAGCTGCAGTCCTCAGCTCGGGCCCGTTGCAGGCTTGACTCTCCGCTCCCCTCTCCTTTGCAGGCTTTCCCAGGTTGGACGTTTCCCCAGTGGGACGTTAGAAGACGGAGTTAGCATGACTCCTAGGCAGTGCCCTTTCCAGCCTCCTTGCTTACAAAGGTGTTTGTTCTAAAGCCTTGGCCAGGCAAAGCCTCTGTGGATATGAGTCCCTGCAAGCAGAGGGGATGGTGCCCTGAGTCATCTGAAAAGATATAATATTCCTCAGCTGGGTCTGACTTCTCTTTGTTTCCTTTTCCACACGCTGGGTTGTGCCCCTTGGTTCAAGCCCTCTCCCAGCCCTCCCCCATAATTTGGGCAAGAGAATGGGAAACGAGAAGCTCCGGTAATGTTCACCCTCACGTTGTGTAAGGTGCATTTGAATAACCCTGCTCTGCTCAGTCTCTACGTGTGGGAAGAAGCTGTCCGAGGGAGAGGAAGCCCTGGAATGAGCCCGTGACGTGAGAGGAAGAAGCAGCAATAAAAATTCTCCAAATTAACCCGTCGCGATTCTGGCAATAAGCTGGTGTAGCTGAGGCCATGTGCTTTGCTTACACTTATCAGAGGAGGTCTTGGTTTCTCCTAAATCATAGACTCACAGAATGGTTTGGGGTGGAAGGGAACTTAAAGATCATCCAGTTCCAACCCCCCTGCCATGGGCAGGGCACCCTTCCACTAGACCAGGTTGCTCCAAGCCTCATCCAGCCTGGCCTTGGACACTCCCAGGGATGGGGCATCCACAGCTTCTCTGGGCAACCTGTCCCAGTGCCTCCCCACCCTCTCCAGGAAGAATTCCTTCCTGGTGTCCAATCTCAATCTCCATCTTTCAGTTTAAACCCGTTACCCCTTGTCCTGTCACTACAGGCCCTTGCAAAAAGTCCCCCCCAGCTTCCTTGTAGCTCCCCCCAGGTACTGGAAGGCTGCAGTACTTATGTTTGTTTAGGCCATGGTAAGGGCCTGCGAGTGGTCCTTACTGTGTGTGATTTCCCAAGCTGTTCTCCCGGGAAGCTGCGTTTCACTGCAGTGCGGTCAGAGGCTGGAGACGTACAGTGAGAGGCGCTGCCGGAGTAGTTGTGGGCACCATGATGAATTCTTCATCTGTGAGCATCTCTCCGAAGAGGCGCTCACTGAAGCCAAGCTGACTTGTTGCCTACAGTCAGTTCCTAAAATCACTACACCGCAGGCTGAGCTGTAGCTGAGCTCCGTCACATTGTGCTGTGCTTGTAGAAAAGCTTTCGGCCTGAGGAATTGAGACCCTTGTGGGCAAAAGCACTGTGTGTCCCCTCTTTTACCCCTCTCCCTCCCGCAGTAACTGACCAGTCCATCCGCTCTGTCTTACAGCAACTGAAACATCCCAACCTGGTGAACCTGCTGGAAGTGTTCAGGAGGAAGCGGAGGCTGCATCTGGTCTTTGAATACTGCGACCACACCGTTCTCCATGAGCTGGACAAGCACCCCCGGGGGTGAGTGGCCTATCTCACCAGGAGCTTTGAGCCACAGAGTCAGGGGGTGTCCACGTCATTGCTGCTCAGCAGTTTTCAGAGGAATTTGATTAATTCCAGGAGAGGGTTCTCAGCCCAGTGCCCAGTTACCGTGGTTTAGCCATGACACCCACAGAATGGCGTGTAAGCCCACGTGCACTCCTGTACAGTGCTGCTCACCCGGGAGACCGGAGCGCTGAGCCTGGGCGCGGGGGTGATTTTGGCTGGCTCAGCAGCAGCAAACCCAAGTGACTTCAGCGTGTCTTGTGTCTTGCTGTGCAGTTTTGGCTGCTGGGTGTGGGCAGGAGACACGCAGCCCCCCTTCCTGCTGCCCCCCAGCTGGGTTGCACGTCACTGTGGGAAGTTGCAGGCACTGAGGCAACGTCACCGAGCACCCAAAACATAGTCTGTAGTGATGTCACTGGTGACCTGTACAACAGACCCGTGGCTCGCAGCGCTCCGGCATGCTGCTGTGCTAAGGCACATGTGTCAGCTGGCAGGCGTTTGCCGGAGCTGTGCCTGCACCTCTCTGCACAGCTTCAGGTCAGATACACCTTGAAACAGGCACATGCACGGAGTGTGAGCTCCACGGGCAGGAAGAACATTCTCCAGGAGAGGGTTTGTTCTTTAGACGCGTCATAAATGACACTCCCACTAAATACATTGTCCCTAATTATTCACAGTGACTTGGTGCTGTGGAAACGCTAAGCAGAAGTTCATAAATCATTTTACAGGCCTGGAGGTAAATTAATTGCCTGCAGGAGACTAATTGGGGGTTGAGTAAACAAGAGCCCGTTACTTCCTTTCTCCCTGATGTGGAGCTGCAGAAGGAGAATGGAGTGTGTTGGTAGCAGATCGCGCCACGAGCTGGTGAGCAGCTTTCACCCCAGTTTGAACCTGTTCACCTGGAATCTGAGGAGAGGATGGACAACCCACTTTGAAGGAAAAACTTCACGTTTGCCTTCTGTTCACCAGAACAACTCCGGTGTGAGCGAACGCGGAATGCCTGGTCACATAGTTTGCCTTTGATCTTTGCTACAGCAGATGGTCAAGTCTTTTGTGGTCAGGATTAAGATGGGTGGGCACACGCCTCTTTGCACCATGTTTCCAGGATATTTGATCAACTTCATGCCCTTGTCAGGCTGTCAGTGCAGCACTCTCCTCTTTCTAGGATGTTTCTGCAAGGAAACCCTAGCATTGCAGCTGCAGTGTCAGCTCAAGACCTTCGGCGCTGACAGCAAAAGGTACCCTAAAGAAAAGGCAGGCTTCCTACAGATTGTTTTGGTTTGTGAGGGTTTTTTTATGATGAATCAGGAGCTTTTCAGCATTAAACACATGAAATAAGATTGGATTTGAGCTAGAAAGTGCCAAGACTGCCACCTCTGCCTTTCCTGGGGTTGTTCAGGAATATTACAGACAGCCAAGGAAGTTTAAGAACTGTTGCACAGTCACTGAAAGAGAGGACCTTTATCAGAGGGTTTGTTTTCTGAAGTGTTTGCCAGCAGTTGGAGGGAAGGGGAGGAGATGCAAACCGAAGTGGAGCTTTATACTCTTGTAGGAACATCCTTCCCTGTCTCGTTTGCTCCCCTCTGGACAATCAATGACATAAGTGCTGCATTTATACCACGGACACACCACTACCTCCAACTCTGAGCAGTTGTGGAGGCAGAACTGCCTGCTGGCATTCCAGGAGGATTGCCTGAAAGCGTGGATACTAAGCACAGCCGCAGGACAGGGTTTGACACAGACTTGCATGCGCCGATGCGTGGTCACCAGTTGGCAGGCCTCATGCTGGCTGTGACAGTGGTACCAGACACTCTGGCATGCTCTTAGCTGCCGTAAATCCTTGTGCCTTGTTGCGCTGACTGGATTTGGAAGTGGTGGTGACATTCTCTTTGACGGTGCTGTGAGGCTTGGAGGGTGACCTCGCAGGGGAGCGTTGCTTTGTGCAGGGAGGAGCAGGCAGAGCTCAGCCCCAGCTCTGAAACACGGGAAGAGACACAGTCTCAACCACCAGCAGCCCAGCGTGACTGGTTTCCTGCAGTGGAGGATCGACAAACTGAGGGTCATTACGTATTCCTTGTAGCTTATTTATAGCAAGAAAATGCAACTAGTGGGTTTTTTCTGAGTTTTCTGACTTGGTCCCTGGCCAGGTTTTGCTGAGAGATCCCTGTACAATGTGAGCACTCAAAGGCCTCCTCTTCCTTTTTCCTGTAATAGTGAAGTTATTTCTAATGGCCAAAACAAAAATGTGCTGTTTTTTAAAACAGGGTGCCAGAGCATCTAGTGAAGAGCATAACCTGGCAGACCCTCCAAGCTGTGAACTTCTGCCATAAGCACAACGTAAGTCCCCGGAACAGCACTAACGCTCGCTCTAACCTGGATTCGGAGGAGACGGAGATTCAGTTGCCCTTTTCCCGATTATATGAGCTTTCATGGGATGGAGCCAGACAGAAGTTCCTGTTTTCAACAAGCAGCATATATCTGAAATATTCATGTAGACCTGCAGCAGTTGTATTTACTATCATACAGGTCCCCTGGGTTTGCTGTCAAGGAATGATCTGCACTTAGATGAGCTTCCCAGCTGAACAGGAATATATCTTTGTATCTTCCCTGTGCTGTGCATGAGAACTGACGTTTGACACGAGCAAACTGCTACTGATTTCCCACAAGGTCCTTCTGTTGATAGTCATAGGCATTGAATCGTGCTGCCAGTTAAAGGGTTTCGAAAATTAGATAGAGTAAACCAGTTTTAGAACTCCTCCTCTGCTTTCTGGAGGGAAATGTGCATGGCAGATATTCTGTAGAAAGCAGAAGGGTGGCTTTAAGAAGCAGGGAAGGAAAGGAGCCTTTTGGACAAGTTCGTTAGGCAAACTTAGCTGTAATTGTCTTTGTTTTTGTTTATCTGCCAATATTTGAGATTAAAGAGTCGGGCAGGAGATCGCTTTAGAATGGATGCTTTGTCTTTGCTGGGAGAATTATGTCCAGTTGAACCACAGGAACTTGGCCATAGGTCTGTGCTGCTTCCAGGATTTGTTGTTTTTCTTCTTTTTTTCTATCTTCCCACTCTGAAAGATGTAGTGAAGTTTTAAAGCCAAGGGAACAATGAGATGCTGCAGTCTGGCCTGCTGTAGATCACAGGTAATGAGGGTTGATGCAGCTGTCCTGTTTGGAGCTCCATGGCAGTGGTTTAACAAGCAGCATTTCAGTCCTCGGGAGGAGACACCATAATTTACCACCAGCGTAGCAAGGAAAAGTCCGCGGTGTTTGTGCTGAGGTGATGGCAGGGGAGGGACAGCAGGCCCTGGTGAATTCAGTCGAGCCACCTTTCACGCTTCGGCAGAAGCAATGAAGGTCTCTGCATGTTTGATCAGCAGAAACTCTTTCACAAGCCCAAATTCAGTTTTCTTAACCTGCAGCAGGCAAGGTGACTTCTCAAGAGTCCCCGAATTGCTGACGTTGGAAGGGGCCTCTGGAGATCATCCAGTCCAGCCTTCCCACTCAAGCTGGGTCAGCTGGAGCAGGCTGCTCAGAGACGTCTCCGGTCAGGGTTTGAGTGTCTCCAAGGATGGAGGTTCCACAGACTCCCTGGGCAACACATTCGGGTGTTTGGCCACCTTCACAGTAAAAAAACCCAATTGCTTATGTTTAAGTGGAATTTCCCATGTGTTCAATTTGCTGAATTAGGCCACAACGTGTGTGGCTGAATTAGGAGGTTCAGTGGTGCCCAGCGACAAGACAAGGGGCAGCGGGCACAAACTGGAATGCAGGAAATTCCATCTCAGCCTGAGGAAAAGCTTCTCTGAGTGTGCCAGAGCACTGTAACGTGCTCCCCTGAGGGGGTGGGGAGTCTCCTTCTCCCGAGACATTCAAAACCCGCCTGGATGTGTCCCTGTCCAACCTGCTGCAGGGGACCCTGCTTTGGCAGGGGAGTTGGACCAGGTGATCTTCGAAGGTCCCTTCCAATCCCCGCTGTTCTGTGATGCTGTGATTTATCTGTGATTGATCAGGTTAAATGCTTGCTTCTAACCTTGGGTTTTTTCTGATTCCAGTGCATCCACCGAGATGTAAAGCCAGAAAACATCCTGATAACAAAGCACTCAGTCATCAAACTTTGTGACTTCGGATTTGCTCGCATACTGAGTGAGTGCCAACTGGCTGCTTACACAGATGATTAACCCGTGAGAGCTCCAGTGAAGTGCAGGATCAGGCTTTCAGACACCAGTAAAGACTCACTTGTCTTTGTCTGATGCACATGTAAAACATCCTATGAAAGGCTGGCATGTTTTCCTAGAGCAGCTCTGCTAAAGGCTGGGTAGGGATCCCCAGACCAGCACAGAGGGAGCTAGCCTAGACACCGTGATGCCAAGTGCCTCTAAACAAACAGCTGAACTGCTGGTGGTGCTGGAGCTGGCGGATGGAAGTCGGCCTTGGGCATCATGGAGCTGCCCAGCAGTTGCTCATGCAATGCTGGAGGCACAGCTGGACATCCCTGGCAGGAGGCGCTGCCTCTGCAAACAGCGGCTTCACATTTTCCTTTGTAATAAACCCCTAATCTGTTTTGGTTTTTTTAGCTCTTGTTCAGACAAATCACGTGGGCTTTGAGAACTGACCCTGCTGTGGAGCTCTGCATATTTTCATTTCCAGAAAAATATGGGCTTCATTTTTGCCAAATCCTAAGAGTTTCCAAAGTTGGGTTCTGCTAGTGGCCACTGACTCATCCTGTTGCTGTAGCTATTGCCTGCCCAGGAGGTGCCCCAGCATGTGTCTGGGCAGCTTGTCTGCATCATTCTGATCCCGCATTCCTGTTTGTTTCTCTCCTTCCTGACCCCAACCTAGCTGGTCCGAGTGATTATTACACAGACTACGTGGCTACCAGGTGGTACCGCTCTCCGGAGTTACTCGTGGGAGACACGCAGTACGGCCCTCCCGTGGACGTGTGGGCGATAGGCTGTGTCTTTGCAGAGCTGCTCTCCGGGGTTCCCCTGTGGCCTGGCAAGTCTGACGTCGACCAGCTGTACCTCATCCGCAGAACCCTGGGTAAGTGTCTCTTCTGCTCCTGTCAGAGCCTTGGTCTCCCCGATGCCCCGCGGGAGGCACAGGAACGCCCGCCTCTGCCGCTGCCATTCCACATCTTCAGCTGTCCCCACACAGAAAAGAATGAGGTGCCTGCACCAGAAAAGACCAGGAATGTTGTGTAAAGATTTCAAAGATCCAGGTGTTTTCCAGGTTCTGGTACCAAGCAAAGGGTACCTCTAGATAACGAGTAGTCGGATTTAGTTCATCACCGCTTCGGAGGTCTCTGTAACATTGCCAGGGCCTGTGTGCTTGGGAAAGGGAGCATGAACATTGGGGTTTGTCTGCTCCACTTGTTTGTCTTTACTCACCAGGGAATTTAAGGAGCCACGCTGGATTTGGAACAGAGGGTACATAAAAGAGCCATTATCTGTGTAACGCTTACATTCACCCAGTCTCATTGATTCTCTTGGATCTTGGTGTGGAACGTCTGATTTCTTGGGTGGAAAGGAACAACTCCCCTGCTTTTAATTTGTTGGAATGAACTGGGAATTGTCATTTTCACTGAGCAGTTTATGAAACTATAAAGGTGACTAATGGCTTTTAACAGAGAAGCTCCTTAGCTAGAGAAATAGTTTGACGTCAATTTTTTCATCCTCCAGCATACACTCATACTAGGGTGAGGTAAGTCAGAATTTGTTTTGAATGATAGGGTTTCAGCCAGAAGAAATTCCCTTTTGATCCGAGTGATGGACTGAGGCAGTGTTTATGGAGAAAAGCTCCTTGGTCCAACCTGTGTAACAGCGGTGCTTTGGCTATTGCACTGGCTCTCTTGGTACAGATGCAACTTCAACGTTTGGCTTGCTTTGAGCTTCCAAAAAGGGCCTTGAAGCTGCACTGGGGAAAGGCTACAGCACATCCCTCTCGGTGCTGCGTTTCAGCGCTTTTCTCTACGACGTCCTCAGGAGCCTGCAAAAAAGGGTTTCAGCCAGTAGTGGTTAAATGTTCACGAAGCTGGGACACTTGTGGTTAGCCTGTCCCCTTCCAGCAGTCAGGGAAGAGGCGACTGTTTATGCAGACAGGCTGCCTCTTGGGAACCCTTTTCCTCTGAAAATGCTGAAGCACAGCGTTCGCCTGGAGAGCAGAGCCCCCCACTCGCCCCCCTCGCACAGAGCACACCACCCAGGCGTGCCCACGCTGCCCTGCAGCCCCCTCCAAAACAAACAGCAGCTCCTGCCACTTCCTCATCAGAGGCCAAGTCCATCTCGTCTGATGTGAGCAGGGGGGTTGGCTGCTGATCTCCTCCCGTCTGCCGTCCTGGGAAGGATCCCTGGGTGAAGCCAAGTGCTGTGGCCAGCGCAGTGGAGATGCTGGCACAGGACGGAGGTGTTTGTGCAGCTTGGGGTCTCGCCCACCTCGTTCCCTGGCGGTGTTCCCTCGTTCCCTTCTTGCTAGCGCAATCCGAATGTGCACTCCATGATAGGATCTGGGTGTTTGTTCATAAAAACCACTCTGCTGCACAGCACAGTGTTGTGTCGGCTCACTTGATAGTGCTCCACATCTTTAAATGTTCCCTCGGGCGTGTCAGCCTTGGTAGAGAATATAAGCTTCTAAAATCAGCAAATTAACACAACTTTGTGGTTTTTTTATTCTTGGTCAAAGGGGATCTGATTCCCAGGCACCAGCAAGTGTTCAGCACCAACCAGTTCTTCAGCGGGGTAAGAATTCCAGACCCAGAGAGCATGGTAAGAACTCCCTCCTTCCCTTGAGCCTTGCGCTAACCAGCATCTCTCTGCAGTGCTAAGGAGACGTGGCGTTTGGGCCGAGAAACCTTCCTGCTGCTTTTTCCCCAGGGTCACGTGCCCTCTGCTTTGGAAGTAGAGCTAGAAAAGTGCAGCTTGACGTACAGCTGGGCTGCACAGCCATTTTTTCCTTATCCAAAAGCTTTGCCCTCTACATTGCCACTGTAACACTAGAATATTATTTGGAGGTGGCAGAACCCCTCTCATGCCGTTTTAACCGATACCCTGTGTAAAACCATGTGTAAAATGCTTCCTCGCTGCTCCTTCTCCCCACTTCTGGCGGCACAGGAGCCCACCTGCCCATCCTCAGGGATGTCAGGCCGCTCTCCTCCAAGCACACGAAGTGACAGATGCGTTTTGTGAGGGGCCGGTCATGTTGCTGTGGAAAGCTGGTTCTCTGTACCCTGAAGAATGAAAAGCTTGCTAATGTCCTGCTTTTTTTTCCCCCTTCCAGGAACCATTAGAAATGAAGTTCCCTAACATTTCATACTCTGCTTTAGCTCTCATGAAGGTAAGAAACCTACAGGTGGTGGAGCTCTGCACTGAGGCTGAGCAGATGCAGCCTGCTTTGCTTATCAACTGGTCAACGGTTTGAGAGTTGGCTCTGAATTACCAGAGATTCCTGAAAAAACAGAGCTGGAGGAGGTTTGGAGAGGACTTTTTAATCCACTCTTCTATAATCCGCTCATCGTTACCATGGAAAACATTATGCCCTTAGTAAGACGCAGTGATGGAAACTGCGAGGAGGGAGTTGGGAAGAAGGAGGCGGATAGCACTAGCTACGCTGATGTGCTGGATTCAGCCAGGA